GATTTGTTCACACAAAATTAAAATGTGCTCTAAACATGTAAAGGACCGACTAACATACGTCAATCAAACATGTAGGTATGTGCGATTTAACCAATCAGAACGCCGTATTTTGTGCGTGACCTGATCAATGGCGTACTCCTTCTAGCACGTCAACGGCGCACGGTGTCGGCGAAGGAGGACGACGAATGTTAAGAAAATGCTGACTTTGTATGGAGTTGAAACTACCGATATTTCGTAAAACTATACTAATGACGTTAAATATTACTTTTACAAATTAAAAAACCCAAAGCCAAAGTGGTCTTTAGCTTCCACTTACACAAGTGGCATACAATGTAAGCGGTCTTTAGCTTCCACTTACACAAGTGGCATACAATGTAAGTGGTCTTTAGCTTCCACTTACACAAGTGGCATACAATGTAAGCGGTCTTTAGCTTCCACTTACACAAGTGGCATACAATGTAAGCGGTCTTTAGCTTCCACTTACACAAGTGGCATACAATGTAAGTGGTCTTTAGCTTCCACTTACACACAAGTGGCATACAATGTAAGTGGTCTTTAGCTTCCACTTACACAAGTGGCATACAATGTAAGCGGTCTTTAGCTTCCACTTACACAAGTGGCATACAATGTAAGTGGTCTTTAGCTTCCACTTACACAAGTGGCATACAATGTAAGTGGTCTTTAGCTTCCTTAGCAATGTAAGTGGCACACAAGTGGCATACAATGTAAGTGGTCTTTAGCTTCCACTTACACAAGTGGCATACAATGTAAGTGGTCTTTAGCTTCCACTTACACAAGTGGCATACAATGTAAGTGGTCTTTAGCTTCCACTTACACAAGTTGCATACAATGTAAGTGGTCTTTAGCTTCCAGTGGCATACAAGGGTCTTTAGCTTCCACTTACAATGTAAATGGTGGTTTAGCTTCCACTTACACAAGTGGCATACAATGTAAGTGGTCTTTAGCTTCCACTTCACACACAAGTGGCATACAATGTAAGTGGTCTTTAGCTTCCACTTACACACAAGTGGCATACAATGTAAGTGGTCTTTAGCTTCCACTTACACAAGTGGCATACAATGTAAGCGGTCTTTAGCTTCCACTTCACACAAGTGGCATACAATGTAAGTGGTCTTTAGCTTCCACTTACACAAGTGGCATACAATGTAAGCGGTCTTTAGCTTCCACTTACACAAGTGGCATACAATGTAAGCGGTCTTTAGCTTCCACTTACACAAGTGGCATACAATGTAAGTGGTCTTTAGCTTCCACTTACACAAGTGGCATACAATGTAAGTGGTCTTTAGCTTCCACTTACACAAGTGGCATACAATGTAAGTGGTCTTTAGCTTCCACTTACACAAGTGGCATACAATGTAAGTGGTCTTTAGCTTCCACTTACACAAGTGGCATACAATGTAAGTGGTCTTTAGCTTCCACTTACACAAGTGGCATACAATGTAAGTGGTCTTTAGCTTCCACTTACACAAGTGGCATACAATGTAAGCGGTCTTTAGCTTCCACTTACACAAGTGGCATACAATGTAAGTGGTCTTTAGCTTCCACTTACACAAGTGGCATACAATGTAAGTGGTCTTTAGCTTCCACTTACACAAGTGGCATACAATGTAAGTGGTCTTTAGCTTCCACTTACACAAGTGGCATACAATGTAAGTGGTCTTTAGCTTCCACTTACACAAGTGGCATACAATGTAAGTGGTCTTTAGCTTCCACTTACACAAGTGGCATACAATGTAAGTGGTCTTTAGCTTCCACTTACACAAGTGGCATACACAAGTGGGCTTCCACTTACACAAGTGGCATACAATGTAAGTGGTCTTTAGCTTCCACTTACACAAGTGGCATACAATGTAAGTGGTCTTTAGCTTCCACTTACACAAGTGGCATACAATGTAAGTGAGCTTCCACTTACACAAGTGGCATACAATGTAAGTGACCTTAAGCTTCCACTTACACAAGTTGCATACACTGTAAGTGGTCTTTTCCCACTCAGCCCTGCAGCAACTATAAGAAAATGTTTTTTGTTTGTAGAAATACATTGTACCGCCAAATACCTTTATTTGTATTATGTTGATTTGTACCGTTTTACAAGGCATAGAAAAACCGATTCTGTTCGGCGAGAGAGTAAAGTGAATATACATTTTACGCACCTGAATAGTTTTAAGGTTTGCGATATTACATTTGCAATACTGACATTAATTGAACAAAACAACTTATAGTCCATTTGGCTCAAAAGCGGACCGATGAATTGCAATCTAACTCGAAAACTAATAAACATAAAATACTCAATGAAACGCTGATGATAATCAAAACATCATACCCACTCTGTAAGGTTTTTTGCAGAATTTTTGTCCTAAAAAAAAAAGTTGTTTAACAATCTATCATTAAAATATTGACACAGTTCACTATTTGTTACGAGGGAGGAGTGCAGAGAAAGGGACAGCCAGGTGTTAGAGAACGGATGGAGACGGCACAGCACAGGTTAATGAATAAATAACTTTGTCTGTGAACGTGCTTCTCGAACACCTGGCTGTCCCTTTCTCTGCACTCCTCCCTCGTAACAAACAGTGAACTGTGTCAATATTTTAATAATAGTTTGTTAAACAACTTTTTTATTTTTAGGACAAAAATTCTGCAAAAACCTCACAGAGTTGGTATGATGTTTTGATTATGATCAGCGTTTCATTGAGTATGTTATGTTTATTAGTTTTCGAGTTAGATTGCAATTCATCGGTCCGCTTTTGAGCCAAACGGACTGTATATGTTAACGAAATGCTATTTATGAGAAGTCAAACTGATCTCAATAGTAAAGGGTTTTTTTGGTTGTTTAACGCCGCACTCAGCACTATTACAGCTATGTGACGGCGGTCTGTAAATAATCGAGTCTGAACCAGATAATACAGTGATCAACAGCAGAGACCCAGATAAGCTGCGTATCCGGGTAAAATACGCATAGAAAATTTCCATTTACGCATTGAAAAAGAATTGTTGCGTACCAATTACGCATTCAAAATGTTAGATACGCAAAAAGTTTAAAACAAATGCGTACGGAATATATTTATAAAAATCGCATGCGTAATGAAAATGACCTCGAATGCTATCAAGTTGTACTGTTAGTTTAGGACAAGTGTTGTATTATCAGTATAGGATGAGTGATTTCCATTATATTTAAGTTGGTTTTGATTAGGTATGACATAAGGCAGAACATACCTGCTTAGTAAACTTAATCAACGACATAATACTTAGGTGAGTAAAATGACTGAAATACGCACATATATGAAAGCAGTGGGTAACGGAAAATGAAATACCCACTCAACATTCATAATACCCACTCCAAAAAAATACAGTGGGTACAGTACCCACATGAGCTAAATCTTATCTGGAGCTCTGCAACAGCATGAGCATCAGTCTTCGAAATTGGGATATGATGACATGTGGCAACCACATCAGTGAGCATGAGACACACACACACCATCCCGTTGGTCGCCTTTTACGACAAGCGTGGGCTGCTTGGAGACCCAGATCTTCACTGGTCAGTACAGGCACTGATTTGTCCAGAGCAGTCCGATTGGGCTTGGCGTTGGCTGGAGGCGGGGCGTCATGGACAAATCTGTGTATGTTTATCTTTATGTTGACAGAACAAGGCTGTATGTTACTATACAGAAGAAGCTACTCCTGTGAGTTAAAACTCACCTGCGTCTTGTTTAAAGCCTTATCACCTGGACATGGGTGTAGCATCGCTGGCGACTGCCATTCTGGCAATGTGTGTATACACTTCTGCTTTTAAACCTGTTGATTTTCAGCCTGTTATTTTTGGACAGAACCTGAACAATTTCTTTGGTTTGTCCTTTCGGAGGCCTTTGAAGAATGACGGAGAACCATCAGTAAAGCACACGTCTGGAACCGATGGTGGGATTGATGTTGTTCTGCCTCGCGCACAGACGGAGTCGAAAAAGTCACCGTCACTGCCGTCATTGGATCACGTCCACACCGGCATCCCCGAAACATCGACACCGCCAACATTGACATCGTCTACTTCACAACGGTTAACAGCTTCTTCCAAGACTTTAGATGCAGAAAACATTTCAAATGTCTTGCATGAAACAACAATTCCAACGACCCCACACCAAACAAAGACATCAAAGAAGAGTGATATTCGAAAGGAAATAAAATCGCTATTTATGACTTTGTTGCAAAGGATCGTTGACCTTGAAACAAAGAGCAAGGAGCTCGGTGTAATACCTCCCCAGTCAGACAAGATTGAGAGAGAAGATAAGCGTATACCATTGTCGTTCTACAAACTGTCTGCACGACTTTTTGCACTATCGGATGCAGTGTTGGATTACGCGAAATATGAGGGTTACACGGAAGGGGCTGAAGCACGTGAGTATCTACAATCCCTGCTTATACTCGTAGAAAGATCTTAAAAACTGCATACGTTTTGGCAATAGAAATATTTATGCAAAATTATTCTGCAACTATTATGCATATGAAGATGTCAGTTAATTTGGTATTAAGAAAAGAATATATTTTGGTCGTTGGAAACTATTGCTCAACTGTTCCTACGGGACAATAACAACAGCAGCAACAACAACAAAAGCAACATCACGAAAGAAAAATACTTAGCGGTAACAGAAACATCAGTTTGGAATTTTCCTTCGTAGAAATTTACAATAATCAGCCTTTCAGGTGTTTGATTATGAGTTGAAATGACATAAAAACGAACTGGGTAGACTTTCTGTTTTCTTGTTGTTGTAATATCTTTATATGCATTTACCTTGCATAAGCTTGAAGGTCTTCAGCAACCCAAGCTTGTCGTAAAAGTCAACTTAAGGCATCGTGTGGTCAGACTCGCTGACTTAGTTGACAGATGTCATCGTGTCTCAATGTTGTAGATCGATGCTTATGGTGTTGATCATTGGATTGTCTGGTCCAGACTCAATTTACAGACTGCCGCATATAGCTTGAATATTGCTGAGTGCAGCGTTAAACAAGGAACCACCCAACCAACTTTATATGCATTTCAGGATTCTCAGACCGACAGTATGCTGGAACTCTGGAAACAAGTGATATAAAAGGTCCATCAGGCATGGCTTTTAGCAACGTTCACGAAGACGTTATGTACGTCATCAACAACGGCGATACAGGATTAGGCACCTCTATAACGGCCCTCAACAAAACGGGCGAAAAACTGAATGTCTTTGTCCTTGCAGGTGCCCGCAACAATGATTGGGCTGCCCTGCAGATAGGTAAGGTCTACGGTTTTCTGATTGGACATAAACAAACATATTCATTATCACTGCATGTTGAGATTGTTTGTGTGATTCAAACCCCGTTTGAGTAACATGACATGGATTTATCGAGGCGTTCTCAGAACAATTATACTGGATCTACTGATCTTCAACGACCCATGCTTGTCGACTAACGGGATCGGGTGGTCAAACTCACTGACTTGGTCGACACATAACATCGTATCCCAATTGCGTAGATCGATGCTCTTGCTGTTGATCAATGTATTGTGTGGTCTAAAGTCGATTATTTCAGACCGCTACCATAAAGCTGGAATATAGCTCAGTGCAGCGCTAAAAATCAAACTTTAATACAGGGTAAAGTAATGTCTGTAATGTTAATTGTTTGTGCGACATATCACTGGTGCTTTACAGCCCAATATTGTAAAACCAAACCTTCTCTTAATATGTCCTTTCCCTTTCGTCAAAAAACATGCCATCTGTCAATGGAATGTTTTTTCATTTCACTTTCATCTTGGTAAAAAACTCAAAATTAGTATCTGAAGGATTATTGATATAAGCAAAGCATTTAATGAAAATCTCCATTAAAATTTAGAATAAGCGCATTTGAAAAGGAAATTCAGCAACTAGAGTTATGTTCCTGGGATTCAATCCTTCATTCATAATGAGTTGAACAGCGAAGCATGTGTATCATCACATGGGAATGTATTGAATACTTTTTAGGAAGAACGGAAAGAATCCAATATTTTTCAGCTACGTCAGTAAGTATTGAAACCTTTACAGCTACATCAGAAAAAAATAATTGAATATATTCAGCTACATCAGAAAGTATTGGATGCGTTTTCAGCTACATCAGAAAGAATTGAATATTTTTCAGCTACATCAGAAAGTGTTGCATACTTTTTTAGCTCCATGTGCCCCGACAAGTTCTCGTAGCTGCATCTACATCGGCGATATCGATCAACAAGACAGGAACGGCAAAGCCTTGAGCAACATCTACATATGCGAGGAACCTGATGACATCTTTAGCGGAAATAAACTTGTGCTGAAAGAGAAGATTAGGATAACGTGAGTAACAATACTGTTTGTATATTCCCTAAAGAAATCACAAACGTGAACCTAGAAAAATGTATTTAACCAGTTACTAGTACTTGAAGTGTTTTCAGATTTTAAAAGCAGCTTTTATGTCTAAAGGAGAGGTGCACTTCAACGTTTGGTTTGCATTTTCAAATGTTTGCTAGGGTCACTTCAATTTAAGGCATGGGATGTTTTGTTCAGCTAAATAACATTTTATTGAATTGTTTCCAAATTTTTGAACGACATTCCATATCTATAAAAGTGCAAAGTTATTTTGCTGTTTTTAAGGCATTGAGAATTATCTCAATTTACGTCTCTTGAACTCTCAGTGAAAACACAAGATTACTTTCTGACATAATGTTTGAAACTAATAAAAGATATATGCCAGGATTAATTCTCTTAATAGATTTTGAGATGGCGTTCGAGACAGTGTCTAAAGATTTCTTGAATATTGTTTTAGCTAAATTTGGTTTTGGATATGAAATCATTCATTTGATAAATATACTGACACATGAAACACCATCCTGTGTAATCCAACATGGTAAACGCTCTGAATGTTTCGTAAATGAACGAGGATGCAGGCAAGGAGATCCTCTGTCACCGTACCTCTTTAATTTATCACTGAAATACTTGCTTGTATGAATAAAAGTAATAAGAACATAAAAGGTATTGTTATTGACAATAATGAGTATAAATTAAATCAGTAGGCAGATGATACCGAATTATTTCCTGATGGGAGTGAACAAAGCTTAAAGGCTGCTATTGATGTAATTAATACTTTTTATAAAATGTCAGGACTTAATATATACTTTGATAAGACAAAAGCAATATGTATTGGCTCAAAGAGAAATAGTACTGATATTAAGCAGAGACATTAAAATAGATTGGCAAAATGGTGTATTTGAAGTCTTGGGAATTAAATTTCACACCGATCTTAACAATTTGTTGGTAACCAATACAAGAATATGACTACAGAAAGTAAATAGATTGCTTGCACACTGGTGGTAAAGACTCTTGACACTGACTGGCAATAATAGTTATCATACAAACTTTGACTATGTCAAAACCTGTTCATATATTCAATACTTTGTATAATCCTCCAAAAGATTCATTACTCCATCAGAGAATATCTTCTTCAAATTCATATGGAATGACACACCTGATAAAATCAAAAAGAACACTTTGAAAAAGATACACAAACTTTTTGTGAAGCATTGAAACTTGGCAATCTGAGATCATTTTGCAGAAAAACAACCATTGAACACCCCTGTAATATTCCTTTTGATGTCATTTTAAACTCTGGTGCAATGTTGACCAGGTAACTCACATTGATAAAGGTTGTTTTGAACCATAACTGCAAAAAACCAACGCATTACAATAAAAATTGGACAAGTAAATGAATGCTTGCAATTAAGGATATGTGTTACAAAACTAGTTTCTCATCCTTTGATAAGTTGAAGGCAATGTTTAATCAGTTGAAGGCAATTATTTGGTATTAAAGGCACACGCTTGGACTATTTGCATGTTTTGAATATACTACCTGATTTTTGAAAATATTCAGTTAGACACTCTAGAAATATCCCAGCCTTTTGTTTACTCATAACTGAATGTCGTTTGAATTTACGGAAATTATGCAAAGGCTCTAGGGGTATTTATGACGCCTTGGTTTCTAATGAAGAGTTTCCTAAAGTGTGTCTAAAATAGCCAGCATCTTTTGCTAATGTTTAGTTTTACGCCGCTTTTAGCAATATTCCAGCAATATTACGGCGGGGGACTCCAGAAATGGGCTTCACACATTGTGCCCATGTGGGGAATCGAACCCGGGTCTTCGGCGTGACGAGCCAACGCTTTAACCACTAGGCTACCCCACCGCCCCTGGTTTGAAAGATGTCAAACTACTTTGACTTTCCATACAAGTTTTACATGATTTGATCTATACTAAAAACAACTAAAAAACTAAACTCATTCTCACTCACAGCATGTCTACTTGATGTGGCACTGAGGATGGCAGAGTCGTCTTTGTGCGCAACAATTGACCGTGCAGAGTTACGTCCCTTAGAGTGCGAGAAACCTACGATCGTGAGGTCGAATCCAATATTCTTTTTCTCAGTTTCAAAACGATAGCTAAGACGTATTTCTAATTTTTGGGTACCGCATTATGTTTTATAGTGTTACCGATACAAAGCGGGCAGGTTGGGTAGCTTATTGATTAAAACGTTTGCTCGTCACACTGAAGGTCCGGGTTCGATTTCCCGCATGGATGCAATGTGTGAAGCTCGTTTCTGGTGTCCCGCTCTGGAATATTGCTGAGATATTGCTAAAAGCAGTATCCAATCACCCACCCAGATAAAATGTAATTCAACGCAGTATCAAAATAGAACCTTGCTATTTATGTTTTCAAAGGGACCTCGATGACTCTGCGAAGCTGATGCTGGTGTCCCCAAAAGCAGACATATACGTCATACCACAGCATCACGAGGAATCACCCCTTTACAAGATCACGAATGGAAGAGCCGAAGAAATCTGCCAGTTCAAGTTTGAATCCCAGTGGTCTGGACCTGTTGATGGTGACATATCAGCCGATGGCGACATGGTGTTGATTAAGACATTCGACTTCGTGTACTACTTTTACGTACCAGACAAAAACTACACCAATGCCCTTTGTAGTGATACTGAGCGTGTGGCGCTGAGGTACACTTGGGAAAATCTTGGAGAAGTTGTAACCTTCAGCCCTGATGCCATGTCATATTACACCTGTAATAAGCAGCTTTATTCCCCGCTATGGAGGTACGACCGATTGAAGGTAAAAGAAGTGGACTAGAAGAAGAATACGAAGAAGAAGAAAAAAGAAGAGGAAGTTTATTGTATTTAAAGCCTCTGGCCCTTATTCAGAATAAATATGATTTCGAGTGACATACACATTCGGATGTTACATACAGTATTTCATCAATTTCAATAAACATGTACACTGTTTTTCAATACGTTGTTTCTTAAACTTGTTACATGCTTTACACACAATGACAGGTGTAAATTATCAGAATCATAAAAGAAGAGAATGGTTTATGTAAGTATGTTTTTGGTAAGAGAAGAGAGTAGGACATGTAAAGACGTTGTCCATTTCATTTTTATACCCCTTTTACATAACATACAAATCTTTTCATTTTTATCAGTTGCTACGGCGTGCTGGGGTAGCCTAGTGGTCAAAGCGTTCGATCGTCAAGCAGAAGACCCGGATTCGAATCCCCACATGGATACAATGTGTGAAGCACATTTCTGGTGTCCCCCGCTGTGATATTGCTGGAATATTGCTAAAAGCGGTGTGAAACTAAACTCACTCACTCACGAGTTTGCTACTGTCATTGTCCTTCAGTAAACCTTCAAGGAAATAGACATCTTCTCATTGACTAACAAGACCAGCAAAGAAAATCACTGAAATGTTCAAAATGTCTGAATGACATGTTTGTCACATAGACCTCCTTGGGGCCTTATGCTGAATGAAGGAAAAAGAAACAATACCGCCTTGTCTATTTGACATTTACATGTTTACTCCTCCATTGCTGTTGCCTACACAAATCTTGCTAGATTACCAATCGTTTGAAATATATTAAGCGTTTTCTCATATAACCATATACCAAAAGCAAAAACATTCGATTTTGTAAAATCTACAAAGTTTTCTTCCACTGTATCAAATGCACTTGCACCATTAACATATTTAGTTTAATGCCAACTTTATCAATATTGAAGCAGTACCACTGCGGAGATATTTACACATTGCACCATGTGGAGAATAGAACCGGGCCTTTGGCTTTAATCACTTGCCTACCTCACCACCTCCATAACATAGAAAGTAAACATACTGCCCCGAGGATCACAAGTTTAAAGAGGCAATGAGTCAGATTGTATGCATCGGTTGAGATGGCCACGTGATGAATAATCAGCCAGAATGAGATCATCTTACTAAAACGTGAAAAATCAGAAAACCAGATCCTTGTCCAAAAGAAACAACGTATGTGATCCACGTGATGCAATCACTGCCTCATGCTCCCAATAAGTATCTGGAGTCTTGCTTACTTATTGAAACTCATGGAGCCTTGTGTACCTATGAACATGATTGCAATAATTACATTTAATTTTTTTTAATCATTTTGAAAACTTGTATAACGAATTTAGATGGCATGCTATTATTTACCGCTGAGATACAATTATTATTTTTGAGTTTTATCTTCAGTGATCTCAACCCTTTGTTTGTAACTAGGAGTCAGGACTACAATACTGATAATAATAATAATAGCAATACAACTCCTAACTGATAGGAGATAAAGAAACAGTGCTATTAAACACAGTTCAGAAAATGATTGTATTTGTACCCAGTGCAATTAGACCGATAACATTGCCCGATATCCTTTCATTCAGAAACGTCAAATGCCTATCATTCACTCACTACACGAACTGCCTCTCTCATACAAAGTCGCCATGTTCAAATAAAGTCAAATAACTGCAGATAACGATAAACTTAGAATGCGACCCCATACTTTCTACCTCGGAACTGATTTGTTGACACAAAATTGCAATGTACTCGAAACATGAAAAGGACCGACTTGCATACGTCAATCAAACATGTAAGTATGTGCGATTTAACCAATCAGAACGCCGTATTTCGTGTGTAACCTGGTGAATGGAGTACTCCTTCCAGCACGTCAACGGCGCACGCTGTCGGCGATGGAGAACGACGAATGCCAAGAAAATGCTGATTCTGTATGGAGCTGAAACTCCCAGATATTTTGTAAATTATACTAATGAAGTCAAATATTACTTTTGAAAAACGAAAGTTAAAAATAAAGTTATTTGCTTTCCATCAGTGTTAAGCATATACACGGTGGTGAATGGATCACAGAATGGTGAATGGTGAATGGTGAATGACATCAGGTGTTCGTAAAAAGGGTAAGCATGTCCTGCTGTAACGGTAGTGCCCACTTACACAATCTGCATAAACTGTAAGCGATCTTAAGTTTGTTTGTCTAACGCCACACATCAGCAATAAGAACCTGTTTGGGTTTTTTTAGAAATACGTTGCTGTACAATTTTATGTAACATGTTGCTACCGATCAAAAAGGCATAGAAAAAATTGATTGTGTTCAGTGTGAGAGTAAAGTGAATATATAATTTACGTATTTGAATAGTTTTAAGTTTTACACCAATTGAATAAAACAAGCTATATGTTCTTTAAACTGTTTTTAAAATATTTCGGTAACGAAATGCTATTTAGAAGACAAACTGATCTCAAAGTATATTTACTGGTCTGTCCTGAGCGGTCCGATTGGGCTTGGCGTAGACGAGAGGCGGGGCGTCGTGGACAAATATGTATATATGTTGATTTATGTTGACAGAACAAGGCTGAAGGCTTCTGTACAGAAGAAGGTACTCCAGTGATTTAAAACACACCTTCGTCTTGTTTAAGCCTTATCAGCGGGACATGGGTATAGTTGTCCTGGCGACTGCAATTCTGGCAACGTGTGTACACACTTCTGCTTTTAAACTTGTTGATTTTAAGCCGGTAATTTTTGGACAGAACCTGAACAAGTTCTTTGGTTTGTCCTCTCAGAGGCCGTTCAAGGACGACGGGGAACCATCACGGAAGTATACGTCTAGAACTGATGGCGGGGTTGATATTGTTCTGTCAGGTGCAGAGACAGGGTCCAAAATGTCACCATCACTGCCGTCATTGGACCACATCCACATCGGGAGCCCTGAAACACCGACACCGTCTACCTCGGCATCGTCTACTTCAGAGCCGAAATTGACAGCTCCTACCAAGATTGATCTGACATCGTCTACTCCAGATGCAGAAAACATTTCAAATGTTTTGCATGAAACAACAATTCCATCCAAGGAGAGTGATAATGCAAAGGAAATAAAATCGCTATATTTGACTTTGTTGCAAAAGATCGTTGACCTTGAAACAAAGAACAAGGAGCTAGGTGTAATACCGCCCCAGGCAGACAAGATCGAGAGAGAAGATAAGCGTATACCATTGTCTTTCTACAAACTGTCTGCACGAGTTTTGGCACTATCTGATACAGTGTTGGATTATGCGAAATATGAGGGTTACACGAAAGGGGCTGAAGCACGTGAGTGTCTATAATCCTTTCTCGTAGAAAGATCTAAAAAATTGCAACATACTTATACTGCAATTAATAATATAGGTATGACAATATCAGTTAATTTGGAGTTAAGAATTTAATTCTATTTTGGTCTTTGAAACTATTGCCCAGCTATTCCTGTGGGATCAAAGTTGGCAACAACAACAACAATTACAACAACATCAACAGCAACAAAACCAACAACACTGAGAATAGTTCACGAAAAAAATCAAAGACTGCAATCAGTCTCTCAGCTATATTTTCAGATCTTTGATTAATAGTTGAAGTATCTTAAAAATAACTCAGTACACTTTCATTTGCCTCTCAGTTTATTTTTATGTTGCTGTAATATCCTAAATGCGTTTCAGGATTCTCAGACCGACAGTATGCTGGAACTCTGGAAACAAGTGATGTAAAAGGTCCATCAGGCATGGCATTTAGCAACGTTCACGAAGACGTCATGTATGTCATTAACAACGGGGATACGGGATTAGGCCCAATTATAACCGCCCTCAACAAAACGGGCGAAAAAATGAATGTCTTTGTCCTTGCAGGTGCCCATAACAATGATTGGGCTGCTCTACAGATAGGTAAGATCTAGGGTTTTCTGACAGGACCAAACAAACGTTCTCGAAGATATTCATTATTACTGCATGTCGAGATTGTTTGTGTGATTCAAACCCCGTTTGAATAGCATAATATGGCTAATACCTTCTCAGAATCGTTATTCAGTCCGATGAGGATCTAAGGTAGAACTGGTCTTCAACAACCAATTCTTGTCGTAAGAGGCGACTAACGGGATCTCTTTTGTCAATGATATATGGCATCTCTCAATAGGATATTTCAGCTTTTGTGTTGGTGTCTGAAGGATTTACATTTAAGAAATCGTTGTTTAACTTTTAATATAAGTAAAGTTAAAATCTGCTTACAAATTTAAAATAAGCAAATTCGAAAGTGAAGTAACTGGAGTTATGTTTCTGTCATTAAATCCTACATATATATTGACCAAAGATCTTTTTCAGGTGTGCAGCAAAGAATGTGTATCATTACATCAGAAAGTATTGTATACATTTTCATATTCATGAGAAAGAACTGCATACTATTATGGCTATATCAGAAAGTGTTGTATACGTTTTCAGCTCCATGTTCCCCGACAAGTTCTCGCAGCTGCATCTACATCGGCGACATTGATCAACAAGACGGGAACAAGGAAACTGTGAGCATCATCTACATATGTGAGGAACCCAATGACATCTTTAGCAGAAATAAACTTGAGCTAACAGAGAAGATCGAGATAAGGTGAGTAACAGTATTGTCTCCCCTTAAAAAGATCTGGCATATGTGCTCATGAGAGGGAATTCCGCCTGCACGCCCGCCTGCACGTCTGCTCGAAGACGATTTGTTTCAACAAATAACTTAAAAACTACTGCTTGGAATTTTGGGGGACCACCTTCTTAATCTAATGAAGAAGCGCAGTGCAAACCTGGATTATGAAATTGTATTTATTTGTCAAGAATTACAGCCATTTACAAACGTGAACCTAGGTTACTTGAACAGTATTGGTCGAATGTTTTCTGATTTGGGAAAGCAGCTTTTATGTCTAAAGGAGAGGTACAGTGCAACGTTTGGTTTGGGTTTTCAAACTTGATATTTATGCTTTCAAAGGGACCTCGATGTCTCTGCGATGCTGATGCTGGTGTCCCCACAAGCAGATATTTTCGTCATACC